CCCCAAAACCCCAAAACCCCAAAACCCCAAAACCCCAAGAGTTAGGAATATGATTGAAGTGTACAAATTAAAAATCCATTAGTAAGAAATAACGATTTCTCCCTGTGCCACGCCAGCACTCCCAACCGAGGCTGGTATACCCAAAGTGGATGTGTAGAGCTAAAATCTGAATTTTGAGAATTTTTAGACCACAAAAACAAATTTTAGGGTAAATAATTAGGAATTATGATGGAACTTGGTAATTTAGTACTACAAATGTCTTAAGAAACAAAGGAGAGGGACCCATGACAAAATAACAAAGTTATTGGTGCTGAGGATTTGTAAAGAACAGGAGTTTACAGGATCTAGCTCAATATTAGCTTTTAGGTGATTTCACAGTAAGGACATTTTACTAATAATTTCTCATTCTATCATCTGAGCCGATAATATAAGAAGTGTATATAATCAATTGAGAAAGCATCCTTGCTATTTAGAGTGATCTCATTGGTGAAAGTTGACTTGTAAATACATTATCATAATCTTCCCAGAATTGTGAGGGAGCTATATAATTCCAATCCTGGAAAGACAGGATTCGGTTCTTATCCCTAAAGAGCAATATTGCCATGGCTATACAATGTAAAAAATCAATGATTACTAAGCCTGGTTGCTGCTTCTGAAACCCCTTTCATTGTGTATGAAGGATTCTTGAATATGTTAAGAGCAAGTTAATTTTTCGAGGTTTAAAACCTACATTTACCTCATTACATAATTCTTCTACCTGGTCAGTTCTCGTCAGCCATAAGTTTGAAGTTGGTGGCGAAAGATTTGAAACTCTTCTCTTTAACCTGTTACAACCCTGGTCAGTAATTTTAGGACTATTTTAATTTTCTTTTATCTTTTTTGTTGTTCCCCCTCACGTGAGATTTTCTAAGAAAACAACAGAGAGATACTTTATTAAGAAATATTAATTGCTGAGACATAGCTTTATTGGCCTTAAACTTCCTCACAAAGATGGTTAAGCATGGTTATTCATCATTTCCATCTAAGCAGATGACTTGTCAGCCGACCGAAATCTGTCAATTTTCTATTGCCTCTTCTCAAGAAAAATTACTTTAAATTCAGAGTTTTTAATTTTATATAAATAAAATAAAGTGAAACAATGTAAGAGGACTATCTTTGAAGAATATTACCTATCTTTGTGTTGACTAAGATTCCTCTAGGATTTGGTATAACATTATAATATAGATGTCAGAAGAAACCCCATGTTTCCCTGAGTTCAATCTCCCTCAAGAAGTCTTTGCAAAAGACTTTGGAAGTGATTGGTATGTCGAATCTGAAGAAGAAAGGATTCTCAATAGCTTTAAGAGCCAAGAATATGATTCCACTCTTTACCATCTGTAAGTTTAATGTTTGGCCAATATTTAACATATCTAGACTTATAAAAGAGCCCCTGGCCAAGCACTCCAATGAAGATACATCCTCTGGAGCCACTCCATATAATTCATGGATGATAAATTGAGGGTTTGACATAACCAACGAGAAAGATTTTCCATACCTCGAAAATTTGCATGATCCGAAACTGGATGAACCTTTGCACAATGGCGATGATTCAATTTCAGAATTTATTGTAAATATTCCAGAAAGCCTTGGGGATGAACAAGTAGGCTTGCCCTTCTCTGAAATGAAAGATATAACAGATTTGACGGTAAAAGAACAGAAACACTCAGAATTATATGGAGGCGCAAAGAATACTAATTCCAGGAACAAGTCCTATATTGCCGAATATGCTAGCAGAAGAGATGTCGTTTACAAAGGAATAATCAGAGGCACAAAGGAAGTCCTCCAAGCTGACTTTTACTCAGCCACCAAGGAAATCACCTTCAGCAGAAAAAGACATGGATGTCATATTTTTAAAAAGAAAGTTAAGGATTTTTATGAAAACTCAGAGTTTAAGAAAACGGTGGATGAACTTTACCCTAATGATGCTGAAACAGAAGAACGTTTCATAGAAGCATTAGCAATATTTCTTGAAATGCCTTGGTATTACCCAGACAAGAGAAAGGAGTTCAGACAAGCCTCAACTCAGTTGAGAAAATGATGTTCAAAATATACAAATAGCTTATATAAAAAGTTGTTCAAGTTCGATGGACTTCAACTCTTTTACAAAATTCTGCTCAAATCGGGCTATATCCACTCTCTAATAAGAGAAAGGAAAAATATGATGAAACTTGAAGAGAGATATATCGAAGGAGTCGTTTCGATCATCGATTTCAATAAATCTGGAAGAATGATGGAATAAACCACAATTGAGATTTATGGAAATCCTCATCCTAAAATTTAGTCAAGTCTTAAATATATTAATTTATCCCCAAAACCTTGTCAAAATTCTATAAAAGGTATCCCAGCATCTTCTTGCCATCTTCCCAATTCTGGCAACCTCATAGTCTCCTCTCTCCCCACCTTCTCTTCACCACCCTAAATTTACTGAAAGTTTCAACTCTACATGCTCACTCAGGGGTTTTGGGGTTTTGGGGTTTTGGGGGTTTGGGGTTTTGGGG